CTCGTTAGATTCCACTACAACTGATAACAAAGAATTAAAATCAAATATTAATGAAGATTAGTGTTTGTCATATTAACATCACCACTATTCGAAAACACAAAGACGAACTCCTTGCCCGATTCTCCAAATACGACGTCATATCTGTAAATGAAACTAACCTGAAAAGAGATCAACCGTTCTCTATGAAAGGTTACAACATTTTCAGAAACGACCGAGTAGGAAAACTGGGTGGAGGAGTATTACTTGCAGTCAAACAACATATTAAATGTAGTGAAATACTTAACAAAACTGTCGGAAAGAATGAAATTATAGCTATTGAAATTGCTACACAATCATTAAAGAGCGTATTAATTACATCCATTTATGTACCACCTGTAACGATCAATAGTGGCCCTGACTGGGTTGATACGTAATGACAAACTGGATAGAGGTGGAGTAGCTTACCGCCACTCTCGGCAATGATATTTATTTACTTCTTCACATATCCAGAGTGTAACAACTTCATATATAAAACAGGTATATATAGGAGAGAGACAGGAGAGATATATATTAGACCAATGGAAAGAGAACAGAAGGAGGAGGAAGGAGAATCATCGAAGTGTGCCATCAATATTGGCACACCACCAACAGCAAAAATCCACACCAATAGGGTGGGTGTAGTAAGCGAAAGAACCCACAACACCCACACCCACACCCTCTCGATGAAGACGAAATAATATGAAAGCATGGAGAATAGCTACGACCATCGACTTTTTTCGGCGTAGAATCCATGTGTAAAGACGAATTGAAATGAACAACTTTCGAAAGTAACAATTGTGACGAAATGAAACAGAATGAACAAATGTATACATGCCTAACTTTATTCCATTTTCTATGTTAGACGAATTATATTATGATCGTTATCTTATTCTTCGGTCATCATTCATCTCATTCAATTCAAATTGGCCGTCAATATTGTTCTTTTTCTGTCTTAATGTCTGTTCGCACAATAGTCGACCGCTTTGATAGCCATTCTTCTACTCTTGTGACATAAAATCGATCGCTATTGTGATACACAACATGGACGCTCATTTTTGTGTTTTGTTTCATTAATGAAAGTAAGCGGGAGAGGCACTGAGTCCCACCTATCCCGCATCCCGTGACCTTTTGTCTCGTGTCCCGCCGGTCTCTGAGACTTACATATAACATTCGATGTATTCATATCGATCACCGTTAACTATCTAATGAATTAAATGCTTTTAGAACAATACAATTGATATATATAATGATATGGTAATGAGATTTTTAGTTAGATTCGGTACCAGTATAAATCAATATAGAATATACATTTTACATTTTTTAATTATTTGCTTCTTATTTTTGTTCGATCTCTAAATGCAAATTCTTTACATTAATTATTCTGTATATTGTCGGACGAAGGTTCAAAAAAAAAATTCAAATACTCATAATTGGATTCATTTTTTTAATGGTTTAATTAGAGCAAGAAATTGCCAAAAAAAATCAAATTTTAATCATTTCACTACTTGTTTCGTAATGAATAATCGAAACATTCAAAATTTAAATCTCTACTGGATTTCTAAAAAATTTCAAAAATTAATGATTTGATTTCGTTTGTAATGATTAAATTTTATAATCAGCTTTCGAAAAAAATTCAAATAAAAAAATATAACATTACTAATTTCAATGGCTGTTCGGTTCCAAAAAAAATTGAAAAATTCAACATATCTATGTTTTTTAATGATATAATTTGACCATGGAAGACGATTGACAAAAAAAAATTCAAATATTCATAATTTCAATCTCTATTTGATTTATCATGAAAAATCGAAACATTAAAAACTTGAATCTCTATTGGATCCCTAAAAAATTTCAAAATTCATGACATCTATATTTTTCACTGATATAATTCGAGCATAGACGGTGAAAAAAGTGCTTGGAAAACAAAATTCAAATATTCATAATTCGAATCACTTTTTAATCATTTTATTAGAGCAAGAGGTCAGTGAAAAAAATCAAATATTGATCATTTCACTATTTGACTTCTGACGAAAAATACAAATATTCGAAATTTGAATCTACATTGCATTTCCAAAAGACAATTCAAATATTTATGATTTTACTCTTCATTCTTAATCATTAAATTTCATCATCGAGTTCCCAAAGAAAATTTAAATAAAAAGGAATTAATATTCATAATTTGAATCTCTACTGGATACCTCAGAATATTGCAAAATTCATCATATCTATCTTTTTTACTGATATAATTCGATCATGGCTAGCGAAAAAAAAAAGGTGGTTGAAAAAAAAAATTCAAATATTCATAATTGGAATCATGTTTTAATGGTTTGGTTAGAGGAAGACGTCCGTGGAAAAAATCAAATACTAATCATTTGACTATTTGGTTCGTGATGAAAAATCGTAACATTCAAAATTTGAATCTCTATTAAAGTGCTAAAAATTTTGCAAAATTCATTATATCTCTGTTTTTTATTATTTAATTTGAAGATAAAGAGCGAAGGACGTTTCAAAAAAAAAATTCAAATATTCCTAAGTTGAATCACTTTTTAATGGGTTCATTAGAGTAAGACCTCTTTAAAAAACAAAAAAAGAAGAAAAGTCAAAATATTAATAATTTCAATGTGTATTTTATATGTAGAAAATACTTTTCTATTGATCTAAATCAGTGAAGCGTTTTGTGAAATATAAATTCAAATATTCATAATTAGAATCCGTATTTGTTTTGTAGTAAACAAATCAAATATTTAGAATTTTAATTTTTACTCGTTTGGTAAAAAAGAATTCTGATATTGACGACTTAAAATGCATATTGATTTATAAAAATATTTCATGTATTCTTCTTCATAATATGATGAGCCTTGCAGATTTAGATTCTTGATGAGATTATTAGAGGTATTTTATTTATACATAATAGCGAGACAAGAACGAGAGAACAATGTCAAGTTATAAGCCAAATATAAAAAAATGTGCCAGCAGCTAAAGAGCACTATTAACTGTTCAAATACTATTGAGTATAAATTTTTTGCAATATTTATAAAACCATTCACATGGCTTTGAAAGGCTAGAATAGCTATAGAATAATGAAAGAAATAATTTATATTGTTTAAATGGCTCTTAGTTTATAAATAGTTATGAGTTTTTGTAATCAGCCACGAGATTTTTAATCGTTGTGTCATGTTAAAATGACTGTGGCGTCTTTTAATCGGTACGCAAACTCTAAATAGTTACAGCAACTTAAAATAAGCGTGGGATGTGTGAATAGTCAATGCAAAACTTGAAGTAGTTGTAGAATCATTAAGTAACTATAGGAAAACATTTAATAGCTATAGGATAAACATTAAATAGCTATAGGAATTCATTAAGTAGCCACAGAAAATCATTAAGTAGCTATAGGAAACCATGAAGTAGTTATAGGATGATTAAGTAGCTGTATGCTCATTAACTAGCTATTAGCTTGTTTTCAAAAGTATCTATTTTGAGAAACTACGGGTCATCTCTAGTCCAATAAAATTAAAAAAAATTATCGAAATCGATTGAGTAGAACTCGACTTATAAGCATTTTTCTTTTCGAAACCCAACGGTACAATTGGCGCCCTTTTCACTCATATTTACATCTTCTGAAAGGAAATACTAGAATAGCGAAAACTTGCCCAATGATCTGATTTCATTGAAAGCTTTATTCGTGGAAAATTTGAAGTTGAAACTTGAAAATTGGTTGTCCACATGAGCTGAAGGGAACCACAAACTTTTGTTGAAAAAAACCAGTAAAATTTCAATATCTTAAGAATGAAGGCGCGGAAAAGCAAACCATTTTCAGACTTGTCTATTACTCACTAGCACTCATAAAATGAACATCGTCTCGGTCGAAAAGCGATTTGACATCTGGAGAGGTTCTCTTCTTTGGTTACCCTTTGATCACACCACGACATTGTATTTACGATTAAATTAGAAATAATTGCTAATGAGTTCATGGTTTATTTATCATAAAGATAATTTTTTTTTTATTTCTCGATTTTTTAGTTCGTAATTCAAAATAATGAATCTGATACAAACTTGATAACTGAAAAAAACCTAATTGCAAGAACTATTTTTTTTTTCACCAAAATATTCATTTAATATTGAAGAAAGCACAAAATACTTTTGTGTAATAGATGATTGTACAAGATAATAATAATTATTATCTATTCTTTTGAAAATATTAATGAAATGAAAGCAATATGATATAGAAAATTTCATACTGATTATTATCTGTTGAGTTTTTCTTAAATCGAAGATCATGCATAAAAATACATTTGCTTACAACAAATAAATTGTCCGAAAACTTAATTCTTTTAACTTCTCTCAAAGTGAATTGCACAATCTATCGACTGATATTATTTTCCAATCATCGTTGGTCATCTATAATCACCATTCATAAGAAATATCAAAAGCGATACTCATTGATGATGACGATTCTATGCTTTTAATGATACTATAGCTAGCCTAAGTGAGACATTTGATGCACTTACGATCTCTTAAAGAGAACCTTT